ATCTTTTGGGACGTATCTTCTTGTCACATACGAATTTCCCCCACGATTTTCCAATGTCTAGGAGGCAAGTTACGAAGTTCGGTAGATGGCGATCTTGTTGTGAGGAAGGCGGCGTAGCCAAAGGAGGTTTCAGATTTTCCTGGAATTTCATTACGGGAATTACATTGTCAGGAAGTTGGTTTGAGGAGAAGGGTGAGAACCGAACTTCATGCTGAGTTGTTTTGTTCTTTTCGGCGTTGATGTTCGCTCACGAGGACGTTCGCGCTCAAGGAGGGGGCGACTGTCACGCGGCGCCGCGTGACATTATCCTTTCCCATCAAACGAAGTTCCTTTGGACATCAGTTCGCCATCAACGACCCAGTTCGCATGAACTTCACCACCCACGAGGGTATTAGGAGGCTAACTTCGTCGAGGACGAAGTTAGTCATGTAGGAACTTAGGGGGATACGAAGTTAGGAAGATATGAAGTTAGGGAGATACGAAGTTAGGAGGATACGAAGTTAGGAAGGCACGAACTTCGTCGGGGACGAAGTTCGTGAGGTACGAAGCTCGGGACGTCGGGTTGAACGAAGTTCTGCGTTGACGAAGTTAGGGAAGGACGAAGTACTTAAGGGCCGAAGTTCCCAGAGATCTTTGACGATCTCTGGTTGTTGTCTTAGTGATAGAAGTTAGTAAAGTACGAAGTTATTACACCCAGAAGTTATTGTCACCTATTTCATATCTCGAACAACGAAGTTGGTAAAGGTCGAAGCCCACGAAGTTATTGGCCGTCGGTCGTAGGAAGTTAACGAAGAAGCAACCCTGTGACACTAGGCCACCTCCCGATCTGCGGGAGGCAAGGAGGAAGGAAGGGAAGTGTACTGAGTGCGGGGAGAAGGGACATTGGTTGAGGGACTGTCCGGTGAGGGCAGCGAAGGTCAAGGTCGGATGGTTGCCGCCGTGGGGGGAGAAGTTCGGCGAACGTGGTGGAGGATCGGGGGGGAACGCAGTACCTCTGGGACAAAGGAGGAACTTGAATGCAGTTGGGGGAGATGGAGAGATGGAAGAGGACCAGGGAAAAGAGGAGGACCTGTCGCAGTAGGCGAGGCTCGGCGGGTCCGCCATATTCTCTCGGCCACCATTCCCAAACCTATAAAAGAGACACAGCTGATGGAGTCAGAGGATTGTGCATACAAAAATACACCACTCAGTACCCCCTGTTCATGCAATGTCGATAATCATCTACTCATCTCTTCCACTTCTAGGGATCAACCTAAATTGGACATTTTTATTAATGGAATTAGGCTAACTACGCTCTGGGACACTGGGGCTACATGTTCGTATATAAGCCCTAGAGCAGCAGCGAAGATAGGTGTAGGAAGGAGACGATATCAGTGAGCGTACCCGTTCACATGTTTGATGGCTCGGTTAGTGTCGCTGGACCTATCACCGAGTTTGTCGAAGTTGGTTTTAGTTT